ATTTCAAGTGAATTAAGTGGTGAGTAAAAAAACTTGAAATTTAATATTAAGTATTACGTTTTTTCATTAGCACTTAATAGTCAGTGTCAAGCAATAAAACTCAATTAAATTTTATGTTAAGTTAAATGGTCTCTCTCTAGAAATTTCATGAGATTTCTAGGTTTTACTGAATGCTCATATAACCTTGAAATCTGTTGAAGTCTTTCGAGTTTCATGAAATGTTATAAAGTTTAAGGAAATCTTTGTAAGCCTTCTGAAATCTTTTAAAAAATTGGTCTCAGTTGTTGAAGTCTTGAAATATGCTGTTTCCTCGTTGAGTAAGGCAAATAAAATAATGAGCAAAATCATTCTTGTTTGAAATGCTGAAATAAATAAGACAGATCGTTCCTCTGACGATTGATTCTCCTTGGAAAGTCATTATCGTCTGTTAGAGTCTTTTTCATTTTACACAATTTGTGATACTATAATAAAACTGTACGAGACATGAAAATTCTATATTGTAGTCTATTGAAGGCTGAACTGAGAAATTTTTTCCTGCCATAAGTCATTTTTTTTTCTCATACTATTACTCCATTCTGCGTAGATTTCATTTATAAAAACAAATTGCTGTATTATTTACATTTAAGTGGAAGAAATGTGTTGACGTCTTTTACTTGTATAAACGTTGCGCTTTTCTCTTCCATTTTTCATCTCTTCTCTTTCTATTTATAACTTCATTTAGTCTTTTTCAATAGCAATGTCAACAAAAGTCAAATAAGCTACATCAGCTCATATTATTATCAAAAATACTTTTTTTTGTTTCCATAGTGCTCTACTACGCAAAAACTTGAAATATAAAAAACAGAAGAAAAAAAATAAATCTTTCATTTTACTTGAAAAAGTTCTTATAGTAAGTAAACGGAAAGATGGGTTGTAATAAGAGTAAGGTAGCTCCAACATATACAGCAAAACAACGACAAGTTGACTATGATGATAATGACAATATAGAAGATAATTCCATTTTTTCACAGAAGAATATAGCCGCTGATGATGCGATCATTGCTAAACTCCCTCGTGCAAATGATCATGTTGAAATTCAAGTTGCTGATCCAGAAGCACTTAACGATTCATTTGTTCAACAACGTCAACAAGCCATTAACAATCGTTCTTATCAATCAACTATCGAATCATGGCGACCAAAATCTCTTCAACAACTTACTGAAACTATTAAAGC